TCTCAGCAGCCTCACTAGACTTGCATCCTCCCCTACACTGGACGTGGCAGCCCCTGTGATAAGGCAATCCTGGTGCAATGCCACATCATAGTGTAGGAGCTCTCCTTGTACTGTTCAGGAACCACAGATTGGTAGCTCTATGAATGCCCATTTCTTTGGAGACAATTCTTCTTAATTTCACAGCCAGGTTGTATTTAAAAGAGAATATGCACATGATGCTGGAAGAATAAGGCTGAAGAGTATTTGGTGACTTTTCTGGACTTTTTGGACCGCTTGATTTGAATAAAGGTTGTCTACTTAGTCCCCACAGCTGTACAGCCTGGGATAGGGCATCTCACTAGGTGATGATAGGGCATCATCACCAGATCTGAGTGAGAGCCACACTCTCGTGGTGAATGAACGAGCTGGAAGTTGTGACTAGTGGCAGGACCATCAAATGCAAGGGGAATGCTTTAGCCATTGTCCTTAATCTGCAGTTTCTTGGTGGGAGCGAGGAGTACCTTTCCGTTCAGCATTCTTTCCAGAAACCTGAGTGTTTGTGAATTTCAAAATTAAAAACTAAAAGGAGGCCCATCTTGCCAGGCATTGACTTTGAGATTGGATGTCAACTGCCAAAGACGGTGGGAGAGGTTTTGGACCAATAGAAAGCTGATAACAGCAGAAACGTCACAAGAGGTCCTGCTCTATGTCCCATCTTGTGGTCCCAGGTGAGTCTGAGAAAACCAGTGGACCATGAGCTGGAGCCCTTTTGCCAGGGGAACCAGTACAAACACATTTTCTTTATGTTTGGCAGTAGGAGTGAGCTGCACACAAATTTGCTAATGCTAATTAAGCTGCTGTAGGAAATGGGAACTCAGCCAGGCGTACAAAGAGCAGGGAAAAACCCCGAAATGAAGCGAGTTAATATTAGCACAAATTACACCAACCGTATCATGAGGAACCATAAGGGAGAAGGAAAGGGGCTAAGCAAGGTCATGAAAAATGATCAAATTGTGTGTGAGTGCATGTACACAAACGCATGAATACTTTGACAAAAGCTAGTGGTGGATTGTTGAGAAGCCAATGCAGCTAAGTTCCTGCTTTGTTACATAGATAAATTGCCAAAGGAAACATTATCCAAACAGTTCTACTTCAAAGGCAAAACGACAAGCTTTGGGGAACTTGCGGTACTTTCAATCTGGCCAATAACCAAGTGTAAAGTGTAAAATATACACGTTTAGGAAGTAGGACACATGCCGTTCAAGACAGGCCTTTCCCATGCTCTCAAACCAGTGCAGCTTCATTTGATGTGCAAATGCATGATGTGTGATCTGTCCTGGCAATGTGCTGCCTGCCAGCAGCACAAACATTTCACAAGCACCCTTTTGGGTTACTTCAGCCTGCTGTGTGCACAGCCTCCTTGGCAACCTCTGCAGCTGGAGCTTTTCTTACAATCTATTGCTGTTGTGGTTGCACAATCCAGGTTTATTTAGGAGGTCTTGTCAAGAGTCTCCAGGCAGATAAAAACACCTCAAAACCAGCCTGGAATTGCAGGATTTGATGTTCGATACTAGGATTAAATGACAATACAAGGAATGGTTACAGTAATATGCTGGGCAACATATCAGTAATGCATACTTCATCAGTCCTTGAGGCAAATTGTCCCGGCAGATGTCCCAGCCTTCCTGGGCATTGGAGGCTTCGGGGCATTACAGGTGATGGTAAGGGCCCTCCATAATGTGATCACAAATGTCACCTGAAATCAGGTGAAATTATGTTCCCTAGAGTGCTTCCTGGCACTGCAGGCACAGCCAAAAATGTATGTGCTGTGCACAGCACAGGACAGCCTCTGCTGTTTGATGAAACTCATTTTATAAACCCATGAAAAGTAACAGTGCAAGTGCTCACCATATAGAAGCAGTGGATCGTGGGTGCAGTCCCTTTTTTCAGTAGTGGCTTGAGTGGATTTAAATTTGTTGATATCAGAAAAAAATAGTTGTGGTCTTTACAGTGCAACTGGGCTACAGAGTACCTGTGCTAGGGGGATGAGGTTGACTTTTAGTGAGGGTTCAGGATTTAAGCTCAGCTGGCTGCACTGTTTTAGAATTAACCATTCTTATGAACCAGGGGCATGTAGATGTGCTTTTTCTCCCCCTCTAACAGTAAGCTAAGGGGATCAGGGACTTTATGCAACAGTTCTGGTGACTTATCCCAGTTGTACCAAGAGGCAAGTCACCCTTGTGCCTCTACTCGCTGTCTTTGGGACAGATTCTCAGTCATACATGTGTGCCGCAGCCTCTAGGCCTCAATCTTAGCTAACCAAGCAGTTGGTGCTGAGCACTACCCCAGTGTAGCAGCTGTGGTTCCACACACAGCTCAATCTGCTCTTCACCATTAAAATGACTGAACTTGCACTGCAGCCAGCTGTAATAATCTGTTGCTTGTGTTAACCTTGAATTCCAGCGTGTCAGTTCCGGTCCTCTGAGAAAGATTAGGCAAGCCAGCATCCCAGCACTCCATATTGTGCTGTGTGGAAGAGGAAAGTGGGATCCCAAGCCCTAGTAGTAGCATATTCTAGCCACACTTCAGTCACATGATACACATGATACCACTACTCTCACATCAGCCTAATCTATCCTTATAAATGGCCCAACTGCATGCTGAATTCCCCCACTCTGCGTCAAAAGTTCTTGAGCTTTCTGGCAGAGCCACATAGTTCCCTGATACCTGTGCGCTGTCAGTGGACACAGAAGATACAGTGAAGATACAGAAGGAATAAATCAACTATGTGTTTAACGAGGACAAGGAAGAAAGATGCAGTTTTATGCAGCTGTAGTCTAATGTGCTGAGAGAAGTCTGTTTGAACGGGTTGGGAATGCTGATGGCATCTAATAGCCACAGAGGCTTTTCCTGCTTCCTGATAGATATAGCACTGTGAATATCAGTCATTGTGGTATGAAGTTGTTATAAGAAAAATAACTTCCTGTGTTGATGGACTTAGCATGCAGTAAACGGAGATGTATGGATGCAAATGTAAGGTGGTTGGGTGGTTGTAAATGTAGCTCTCCAGAGCTCTAGGTGTGACCATGCAGAGAGTCATAAGTAAACAGTACAGTATATTGCTTGTCTTTGACTTCCTCTCTAGCTAAATTTGTGCCCTAAATTCAGTGTTATTATGGGTTCTCTTTTTTCCAGGACAGAACTGAGAAATAAGAGGGCACTGTAACACAGTGCCTCTGCATATGCAAGGCAAGCTTTTTCATCGTGGCCTCTGTGGGGAGGAAGAGAACGAGCAGGGCACCAATAAATGTGTGAGTGCTATTCAAGTAGTATCAATATCCATCGCTTTGTCTGAAGGCCACAGAACTGAAATGCTTTTTGCCTTTCTTCACATCCTTTTCCCAGAAGAAAGGCACAATTATTTCCAAACTCTCCCTTTACTACACCTGTATACACATTTATTGATACATTTACTTTCACTGGCTGGGGCTCCACAGAGTGCTTATTTACTGGGGACTGAACTTTGCTCATTTCATTAGATGACAACACTCCTTGTTTTCAATGGGTTCCAGAACAACCTTCTGTCATTCATTTTGCTTTCAGAAAAGCACTCCATTGCTTGTGCCTATGTGACTGCTTGGAGTGGTGAGACAGGTTGCAAACAGGTCAGAGAGATGGGGAATATGGAAAGTGCTAATTGTCCACTCACAGTCCCATGACAGAGTGTTGTCCATGCCGCTAGTTAAATAGAAATGAAACTTGCTTAATATATTCCTGATATCCCAGACTTTCAGGAACAGTACTCCTTTTTGAGAATGCAATTTCACCGTTATTATTAAGTTTTATTCTCTTTTATCCCATCTGTTTTAGTCAAGTTACTTTATCTATTGTGATTGCCTATAGAGTGTTGATTAAACCAACAATATTATTCTGTGGCATTGAGGTATAACTATTGCTTGCCATACAATGAAGTAGCTTGGCCTTATTAACTGAGTAGTTACTTTACCTCAATAGGCACCATTTCAAAAGAGGAGGAATGCTGTTCCTGGCAATGAAAGTAACTCTGGAATAAAGGGGTTGCTTAAGGGAGAGTTGTATAGTACCTGGCCATGTGAATTTTACTGGCTGTCAAATAACATTCAGTCTGTCCTTTTCCCCTGTTTTAGCATTTTGAAATTAAAGACAAGTAGAATATCACTCCGTAAAAGATCTGAGTGTTAATTTAATCATCTCTGTGACTCATCTACTAGAGAAAGAAAAGGCATCATGATTTTTTTAAACGTTATCCAAAACTCAAGCTGTGATGCAGCAGTTTGCTAGGGTGCCCCACTGGTTCTGATGATTTCAGACCTTTCGCAATAGCTAAACTTTATGACCATGAGGGTGAGGATGAACTTTGGCTATGACCTAGATCTGCAACTCACAAGTGTTTTTCATACAGCTGCAATAATATTCCAGAAAATGTAATTGGCCTTTTGCTTCATTCACTTTTGCAAATGAAAATAAAGCTACTGTGAGAGCAGATCTTTTGCTAAGAAAATATTTTTTTTTAATATTTTTATAGCTCTGTCAACAATAAAGGAGTCTCACAGTCTAAAGTCTTTCTCTAAACCTTTTTAATGGAAAAAACTTCATAGAAAATATCCTTTTACTTTTTTAATAACATATAACTATATACATGATTAAAAACTGTAACAAAAAGCTGCAGGGACTGGAAAAATGTTTTGTTGGATCTATGCAGATGGTACATTTAAAACAGGATTTCACAAATCCATGTACATCAGATGGAGCTGCAGTGACAGGGTTGAAGAAAATGGCAACTCTATATTATTTACCTGAATGTACTGAGAATAAAGCACGGACATACAAAATACACAAAAAGAATACAAAAGAGTACACGGTGTAAATGCTGTTAGCACAGGAAGTTTCTTTTTTAAGTAAATAGGAGAAAAGTAAAATCTCCTTTTTCACATTTTATATTGTAATTTAAAAGATAACTAATCTCTTATTTGCTGTATTTTGTTTTTCTTTACTCTGACATACACTACAGTAGAAGTATATGGCATTTGCATGTCATAACTCAGGAATATTTTGATTCATCTCCCATGTCTGTGAATGTACTGTCATTTCTGAATAACATCATGTATACATATTGCTTTAAAAAGACATACACAGTTTGACATGAGTTAGAAATACAAAATATTGAGGGCCACCACACTACAAAGTGCTGGATACTCTTGTCTTGATCCAGCAGTATGTTTAAGGACACACACAACTTCAAATCTAAGAGGAATTCCTCAGAGAATAAAGGAAGTTAAGAACGTGCAGAAGTGATTTGCTGATCAGGTCTGGAGTTTTCAACAGTTCGTAGTATAGACTCTGCAGCTAGGAAGACTGTTACACCTGATGCCATAATTCTGTCCTTACACCCCAGATAATGTAGCTACACAGTGTAGGTGATTTACTGTACTTTTAAAATAAATTTTCTTAATTCTAAGTTAAAACATAAAATGAAACCTCGTTCAAAAAAGTCTGGGGAATCGAGGAGCTCTGCAGCTGCAAAGAAGAAAGAGATGGTGTTTAGTTTGTTAGCTACAAGTTGGAAGAGATTCTGTAGGCAGCAGGTAATAATGTGACAGGTTTTAAACACTTCACTTCTAAAAGAACTTGCTCATATTTTTGTCCTGGGCCAAAAAAAGAACAGACATAATTGAAAAGTCAGTACCAGCCAGTAAGCTCACCGGAGGCTCACAAGCATGGTGAGGATGGCAAGCCATCATTTAGTAAGAAAATAAAGTCAAGCTTACTTCCTGTCAAGTGGGCTTTTGCTGGGTTCTTCCTGCTGTAACAAATACTTAATAATTCCCAGTGTAATCACAGGCAGTTTAATAGCAGACAAATAAATGGAGTCTGTGTGTGCATATACTTGTTTAAAAAAAGAAAAAATGTGAAAACAACTACAGTAACAACAACAAAACTAGACAAGCAGTGAAAGCTAAAATATTCTGTGAAGCCTTGGGATCTGTTCCTGTTCTCCTTAATACCCTCCCTCCCTGTCTGACCATGCTCTTTTGGCAGCCAGGTAAAACCTTTCAAGTTCCTTTAAGTGAGGGAGGATTTTTGCTTATAGCAAGACATAAAGTAATTATGAAAGTAAGTTTTGAAAACCAAATTGCTGTGGGTCATGAAGCCGAATGTCACTGATAAGTATTTGGATCTCATTGTCCATATAATGGTTTGATTCCCTTCCCCTCGTTATGTGAGCATGCTAATTGGAAAGTTGCCAATATACCAGTTTTTGGCTCATTACCGTTCAGAGTCTTTTACTTTTTAAGAACACCGATGATACTTGTTTATGTTGTTCGTTGCTAGCATTTTGGGTAAAATCTGGCTTGTAAAGCCCTGATTGAAACTAGAATGTCAGTACAAGGCAGGTCCGTTTGAGAAGGCAACCTGAAAGCAGTAAGACTTACTTTGTTTATTTAAAGAAGAGATAAATGTGTGTGTGCATGCATTTGCATTTATCAGTTTTATAGCTAGAACTGTTATCAAATGATGCCCAATAGCAATTTTATCTCTTGTTATGATTTGTTTTATAAAGATGTAATGATTCTCAGGAGAGTTTTACGAAAACATGCAGAGTTGGTTTGCATTACATATGCAGTTATGTGCCCAGTATATATGTTGCAACTTAATTTCTTAAATATATATTGTGTAACACTTTTTATTCCTGAGTGCTGGTCTCCATAAGGAATAGAGAGGGTGGCATCATGTGCTCTTCTGCACGTGGTCCTTCATCATTTTAGGAGTTCTTCTGAGGGATCTTTATTGTCACAGTTTTAACTTCAGAATATTCTCTCAATCCACATTCACCCCTAAAAAACAAATTGCAGCATCAGCTTACACCAGACATTAATTCTTTATCGAGCAAAAACCTGCAAAGTGATTCCTTGATAAAGTTAAGATGTAACCTAAAATTCTCGGTATAGGTTTCTGTTGTACTGTGATTTTGTACAGGTGTTCCTTTCATGCCATCTTTCAAAAAACCTGAAGATGAAGTTTCAGTTTAGGTCAAAAGAACAACGGATGGCTTCAGCATTTGGTAAGGAGATACAGAACGACATTGAACCCAGAAATACTCACTATCCGTTGATGGAACTGTTGGGAGTGCATTGATGTCCCCTGTTCTTTCCAGACCTTGAAAATGTCCAAACACCAAGACCTGCACCACTGGTCAGCGAAATTATTGCTTATGTTTGCACTCAAGAAAAAGAAGGTCCAAACTGAGTACTATGGAAAGTGAACTACTCACAACCCTGGGTAAAGATAACTTGACTCCTAACCCATCAATCTTTTTTCCCTGACAAAATATCCAGCAGAAGAAATCAGTATTTGCACGTACCGTGAAAGAGCGTTCAGCTTGCTCAGATTTCCACTAGATTTATGTAGAAGACCTCTTTTTGCTTTGGCAAAGCATCTTACATAAGATCCTCTATACTGCTACAAGCTAGCCACTCACTAGGTCCCAGTTATCTGACACGTGGCTCTGAGGGGTACGTGCTTTGGATAAATTATGCTTAAGAAATGGGTGTTTCTGAATGCTATGTGGATTTTGTTCTTGTCAGCTCCGGCCTGCCTCATCTCTTAGGCAATTCTGCTGAGGTTTAGAGTGGATATTTCATGGCTTCTTGGGAGTTATGCCTGTCTTCTCTGAAGTATAGGTATTTGCTGTGCGTATTTTGAGTAATAGAGAAGTGTGTTCTAGTCAAGTCATTAGTTAAATTCTAATATGTCTGCCGGATGCTGTGTATGTAAAGCAAACAATGTCCCCACCTCAAAAAAGGGACAGTGCAAGTCTGGAAGTAGAGTATCTCTTCTATATGAACTCATACGAGGATTCTTTTGCACAAGTTCTTACAGACATTTGTTTCTTGGTTAAATTCTTATCCCCACCCCTAAAACACACACAATACTGCTCCCTTACTTATATTAAAATCTAAAAAGTGCTGACATGCCTATCATGTTTACTATTTGACACTGTCTTCCCTCTGGATCCCTGTGTGCAGAATTTAATGCCAACTGCACCATAAAGAATATTTCTGAGGAATTACCTTCTAGTAAGTGTTGCTTTCAGAATGGAGGGAGGGGCCACTCTTCAAAGCAGTTAAACCCCTCTGTATGTCCCCGGTGTTGCATAGCCTACTTCGTATTTACCTCTACAATGTAAATTTTACACAAAATACATCATCAGGGGAGAAACTCCTGTAATCTTCCTTGGAAAGTTAATTCATTTGGGCAGAAATACCAGTATTTACCAGCCCATTTCACTCCACCTGCAGTTCTGAAAACTTTCTGATGTGCCTGTTGGCTTAGTAGGCCTTACATGTGATATAGTGGTTGATATTTAACTCATGATTCAGTAGGCATTTTAAGATTACTAGAGTCTAAGTACATGCAAGAAAATATATTAGTAAAGATTTTTTGACATGTGAAAAGTTCCCATTGATTTGGACCACCCCACCCCCAGCTTTCAGTAGAAAGTGGTAGATTTGTCTCCAAAGAATGACCAAAAACTTTAGCTATTTATCAGACTCAGCTGAGTCACAGAACCAGTGGAAGCTGTCACCAGGAGCCGCATGGAGCCCAATAACTAATGCTAGTAAGTCTCTCTGGGTGAAAGTTCCTGCTTGATTCAGTAGGGCTGCGGCTTGGCTCCAGACACCTGTTGGACACATTTTTGCAAGTCAATAGATAACCTAGCCGACAGAGTATCCAGTGCCTTTATGTATGTTCCAACTGCCAGTTGGTTTCTTATCTTGGTCTGGCAAACAAAATTAGATACAGTTATTGTCTGTTTCTTCAGTCCAAGGCTTCAGGGCCTTACTCATTTGTTTTCTGGCCGAAAGTTTGGAAGTGGACAACTGTGATGAATTCTAAGGCAAGTATTTTTCAAAAGTTAAAAAGTTGCTCTTGCTAAATAGGAAGATGGGTTATTCCAGACATTCAGAGCAGAAGAGTCAGTGTGTGTTCAATTAAAGGCCTCACTTGTCCGCACAGCTTAATACAGGGAAGTAGGGAGCAATAACATCCTGTCCTGTGGCCACTTTGGGTCTTCTTGGATTGCAGTTCGGTATCAGGGTGAGAACAAGGGTTGTATCTGTGAAAAGGAAGGAGCCCACGGCTCAAGTTTGCCTGATGCTATCCCTTGGTTGTGTAGGTGTGAGGGAAGAGGAACAAATTGCTCTTCAAAAAGAAACACTACATACCCTCTTCCCTCCCTCAGTCCAAGAGAAAAAAGATAAGGAAAAGAATTATATCTCCAAGCTGTTCTCCTGCTTGCACTTCTTTTTGGGAATGCAACTATGCACTGCTGTATCTCAGAGCCATCCAGACAATAATAATTCTTATGACATTAAAGGATAGTTCTGAAGTAGAATGGCACCTCCTTCCCTTGAAGACATTTGGACAGAGACCAGAATTTTGGGGGACTCTATCTAATATAAAACGGCCACACGTGGCTATCTGCGATGAGTCACCTGATTTTTAGTTACAGGAGTTAAATTCTGCACCACTCAGGTAGTGATAGGAAGCTTTAAAGAAGTGTAAATGTAAAAAATTCCCTCTTTTAGACTCCTTTAAGAATACAAGAATACTGTAAGTAGCCTTAATGTAAACAGAAATCAGTTATATTGTGTACATGAGTTCTGGTTCTCTACTGGTATGCACATACCTACATTTTGTGGGAGTGTAAAATGAGTATAGCAGATCTCAACTTTCTGTGTTCATTTTTTTCCCCATGTGTGATAAAAAATTGTGAATTTAAATGCAGGAACAAAACAAGTCCCAGATAATACAGTGCTAGCACAAACAGCACAGTGGCACAATTATGATCTGGCTGTAACATAGTATTAGCTTAGCAATGACACACATATGTATGGATACTTTCTGTTCTTCTTTTTTGTTCTTTAATTGCCTGACTCAACATTATTTATGCTGTAAAACTTATCCCTTAAAAACATGGATCTAAGAAACTGTGGCATTTTAATAGAAAGTATGCAAATATTAATGCAGGGAGAGGAGGTGAATTAGAAGGTGATATCTGATCAAAGAGGTTCTGAAAACAGTAGAATAATTACTTATAAGTAGGTTTTCAGGCATCTTTGTGAGATAGAGATTATTGCCACTCCAAACATTTACTGGTTTTGATGAGTATTTGCAAAGCTGTAGATGGGAATCAAGTATACAACTACTGTAGATTTTTCCATGGGAGCTGGGGTGCTGCCTGGTTCCCCCCCTTTCAAAAATTCTACGATATCAATATGTGAATATTTTGCTTGCACGGTTAATCTCCCTGAAGTCAACGGGGTCACTCTTGGGTGTCAAGTTACTCATGTGCTCTATCGAGCTTAGTAGTTTTAGAATATTTTCACAATGATAAGAGTTAGATGAGCTGACATATTTATGCCAATGTGAGATCACCTCATAACTCATGAATGTGGAGAATAGTATGAATGTGTTATTCAAAGTACTCCCTAATGAGGGAAAATATTTCAGACTACATAGAGCTTATTTTATAGATCAAGTTGTATACTTCAACATATTTAAAGTTTTAAAGAGTTTGACCTTAACTTTAATTTTACTGCTGAGTTTGCCATTAGCCATAAGCTATTTTGAAAGCTTAGGTGAGACATATCTGGTATACATGCCTCCTGCAGAGAAATTAATTGAATCCTTTGTATGCGTAACCAGTCTGAGGCTGATGCAATTGCTAAACTTCCTTGTGATTGTAATGAGAATTAAAAACTGGTAAGACTTTAAATTAGGTACATGGGACAGTATTTGAGTGTGGAGTTCCATTTCAAAATATTTGGCAGTTAGTTCTAAATGGAATAAGAAAAGACAGAAAGCTTTGTAATGGAAGGTGATTTTTTGAAAGGGATGTAAACATATTTGGCTATCCTTCTCTAGGCCTGATTTAATTTAACATTGTTTATAAATCTGGTAGAGATAGATAACATTTTAATAAAGTTCAGATGCACCTATATTAATAAATGTAAGAAAACAAATTAAGAAAACACAGGTTACAAGTTCAGAAATTTCAGTTCCTTTCAGAATAAGAAGGGAGTTCCAGTAACTTACTTTGCTATGTCAACAAAGGAAAAAAAAAAAAAGAAAAGGAAAGAAAATGGTCTTGCCATGTAAATCAATTGCATTTAGAACTGGCAATGATTATCAGTCATCTTATATTATGCCCTGATCCTCAGATGGGAATATTTCCTGATCTTAATTTGCATGGAAGGATTCACTAATATTTATTAAGTTGTAGAGCTGAAAACAGTTTAGAAGACAGCAGTGTAATACTTACATCTCTCTCCCATTGCCAGACATTTTGAATCCTCCAAAAGGACTTTGGGCATTTAAGGCATTGTAGCAATTTATCCTGTAACAGGAAAGGCATTAAGTCCAACTGCGCTGTCAGAGAGACCTTTGGACAACTCAGAGAGAGGCTGAAACTTGTGGAGCTAAGGACACCATGTACCTCTTAGTAATAACAAACTTGTCTCATGTTGAAAAGAAATGAGGGATTTATGCCACAGAAACAACATTCTGCTCCTTACTCATAAGGAGAATGGGATTTGGCCTGTGAGGACTGAAGGAGGGCACCAAACACTTAGAAGCAGCTTCAATAATGAACTGTTAATATGCTGACAAACCTCAGTGCCAGTTTGTAACACAGAGCTATTAGATCTGAATTTGTCCTTTTTCTCCCTGATTTCTTGTGGAGGATCTTTAGTTTACCCAGACTTGACATACCAAATTGCAAGCTATTAAACTCTAGAGGTGGCATTACCTATTCGTAAGGACTAGAGAGGTGTCCCCTCAAGTCCTTAATATTGTAGAAAGTACATGATTCTTTGTGCCTTTAGCAAAAACCTCAAAGGATTCCTCTGCTCCACAGAAAGGATCATTTATACTCTGCTTTGTTTATTTTCAGTAATGCCATTCAGCAGTGTGGCTGCCATGCTAATGGGAAGCAAGGCCCTTTCCAGTTTCCAATAGCATTCACCCGCAGTGAGCAGAGTCACAACACCTCCTTACAGCTGTTCCATATCTTGGTTAGTGATTCACCACTAGGATGGTCTAGATAAACATTTTTCAGACAAAGGGTGTGAAACTGAGGTGCTATAGTGATAGTGAGTCAAACTCTCTATCTCCAAGAGCAGGAGTGTGATAACTTCTGCCTTACCAGACTGTCCCAGCCTGCATTGCTGAAGAGACTGTCAGGGCCTTGTTTATGTCATTTGTAAAGACAGCAGCTACCAGCCCAAAATCAGAATTGTTGGCTCTCTCTATAACTTCATCCATGGTTTTAAATCTCAGTATTTCTTGAACAGGACCAAAAATCTGCAACAAAGATTAATCATTAATTAATAAATGAGCCCACTCAGAGGCATTATATTCCTGTTTTATTCTGCTTTTTTAACTGTCTTCTCTCTCCTGTTGTACTCTTACAAATTCCCACAGCAACATTTAATAGTGATAATAGCTGTCTGTAAAACTGCATGAATTTCCCACAGCAGTTGCCTCAGCGGAACTCCTCCATTCTTCCCTTATCTCTTCTTCAAGGTCTGAGACTTTACAGCCAATGACAAAAACTGAGCTTCTTTACCCAACTGATGTCGTCAGTGGCTGTGTGCATAAGGAGTCCTGAAAAGATTTTACTCTTTTTTTTTTTTTTTTTTTTTTTTAATATAGTGGTAATTTTCACTCTAATTTTGTCTTGGGAAGTAAACAAAAGAAAAAAAATAATGTTTAGGACATTCTGAAGTGATCTTGCCCATGTGTGTGAATACCTCCTCCTTGGCAATCCGCATGTCATCTGTTACATTGGAAAACACCGTAGGTTCAATGAAGAAGCCCTTTCTTCCTAGCCCTTTACCCCCACATTCAAGTTTTGCTCCTTCAGTAATGCCGCTTTGAATCAGTTCCAAAATCTTGTTGTATTGTTTTTTATCAATCTGAAAGAGAGAAGAAGCCATTTGACTTGCAGACCGTGCACTTGAAAATCAAGTCAAAAGTGTTTTTTTAGGCAACTCATGTCCCAGTGAGTGGACTCATGCTTATATTCACTACTCTTTGAGCTGGAAATGCCAAAGATGTACAAATATCTGCTGACTGTAACCTAGGGCTCAGTCTTCTTAATGATGTGTCCCCTTATGTGTGTGGCTCAACCCACATTCTTGCTAAGCAATCTGGTTTATAAGTACAAACAAAGCAGATCATTATTTTTTGTCCCAGGTTAACTTCCTGAAAATGGTATAAGGCCAGCTGGTTATTAGTGGCAGGAACACTTTCTAAAGGCCTATTTCTAATTCTATCCATCTTTTGCTTAGAATTCCTGTCCCTCTAGTCATCTACAAGCACAGTTATGGTTGTAGACAGTTCTTGAAAGTAAGCGCCCACAGAGACTTCTGAGAGCTTCTTATCAGTTCACAGCTGTATCTTGGGGGCTGAAGATCAGAATCTTGCTGTTAAAGCTGGGAGGCAAACTTACTGATATTTAAAGATGAGAGTTTTTACTTAAGAAGAAACACCTCTGAGCTGCACAGATTATCTACTCCATTAGAATTTTAATCTTGGAAACGTTTATCATGTCAGCTACCCTGGACTGTGAGTGAGTATGCACTGACTGACCTCTGTCCTAGTAGAGTTTAAATGCTTCCAGGCACCTTCTGGGCTGTAGAGCTGAAGCACTATTCCTTTACCTGTGGACCTTGTTCTGTAGTTGGGTCAAAAGGACTCCCCACAACTCTCCTCTTTGCACGTTCTACGCTTCTTCTAACAAACTCTTCATAGATTGATTCTTCCACATAAATCCGTGAGCCTGCAGTGCAGCATTGACCTTGATTGAAGAAGACCCCTTGGTGAGCTTGTTCCACAGCATAGTCCACTAAAAAAAACAAGACAGCGTATGTTGCTCTGAAACATCATAGACACATCTGCTATTGCACCAGTGTCACATTTCCACATTTCCACATTGCATAGTGGACTTTTTCCAAAACTTCAAAGCAGAAGTAGGATTTGGTTAAAAAAACCAAAACAGTGACCAAATCAAAACATACTATTGTTGTGTCGGGTCATAAATGAAGATGATTGATTTCATTTTTGTCATAATCCCTGTGAAAATACATGTTTAAAGTTGATTTTTTCCCCATTTATTCCACCCTGGACACAGCTATACTGGAGGGTTATTAGGAGCATTACAACTATTTTAGAAACACTAGATTGCAAGGAACCACTTGGGACTTCAGGCATCATCTAGGTAAAGAAGGGTCTGTAGGTAATACATTCCACATGCCATCTTGTGACACAAGCCACAAAATATTGCTTAACATCCCACTGCAAAAATTAAATCAAGACAGTGCTTTAGCAGTCTATAGGAGTAAGATATGCAAGAACAAATTCACCAATGTCTTATATGCCAGCAACGTGTAATTTATCAACTAAAACTCTTAAGAGACCCTAGGAAGTGGATTGTGCCCCACATTATAGAAGTCTGTCTGACTGGGGTCAGTGGAGAAGGGGAAAATCTGTCTGTGATCCCAAGTTTGCCCATGGTTTAATATTGCATATGTGAGAATTACAGCCAACCAAGTACTTGAGAGAATTTGACTTTGATAATGGCAAGACCTATCCTTCCCAAAAAGCCCGATTATTTTTCTGCAAGACACAAACGTCTTCTTGGACTACATAGGTGACGGGGTAAGCCTTTAAAAAATACAGGTCAATTACAGAACAATCAGCCCTTGATTTCTACTCTTAACTTTCTTGGAGGTAAAACTAACATATCCACTATCCAAGCAGGAGAGAGGATCCAGTCATATTTAAGACATTCAGAGCTAAATTCTCCCATTGGGTGTAATAGCTGACCAGACAAGAATATTGAATTCATCCTTCAACAGTGATGCCCTACAGCACTGTAATACTTCTGTTATCAGCTGTAGCACTTTGGAACATTGCTTAAAGTATAATCTTTCATGGAATAAACAAAGCAACAGTGTTTTACTTTCAGCACATCCTAGACAACTCCATCTAACAGAAATGTCTTATTCTGCCCTCAGCGTGGTCTTGAAAAAAAATTATATAGGATGTTCCCTGGAACACATGCAAATTTTCCCCTGCAGCTCCATGGAGATTGAAAACACTAGTGGATAGAACTGATTAACTGATGTTTCTTCCTCTATTGTTAACACAGTTTTTCACCATGAGGGGCTCTAGCCATTCTTCTCTGTTTTTTTGGTGCACCAAACTTTCAACAGCTTTGCCATGCTTTCTGCTAACCTTTGGCACAGAGTGTTCCTTAGACAGAACAAACAGCTCTTTTGGAATGGTGAGCAAATTGTCTGCTGTTCTTAAATAATCAGAGCTTTGAAGTCTGAATCTCAGGTCAAGTGCTGGTGGTTGTAATTATGGGAAGACCAGAGAGCTTTAGTATGATACATTGTGGAACAGACAGTCCCGAAGAAGACTGTGCTCTCCTCTGTGCCCTGTTATTCCCCTCTTGCCTGCAACTTCTTCCCAGGTCCTCAACCTTATTTGGCAAGTCACAAATAAACTACAGCTCCATGTGGCAGCTAGGAGCATTTGTCTTTCCCCTGTGGAAAGCCATAATACAGACCTTCCCCCAGCCTATATTACTCTACTAGAAGTGTTCAGGTGTGAACCAGTCTGCGTTAGTAGGTTAGGGACATACAAGATGTGGTGATTTCTGGTGGGAGATGGAGATGGATCAGGCCCAGCCAGCATGGGTTCAT